CTCTCTCTCTCTCTCTCTCTCTCTCTCTCTCTCTCTCTCTCTCTCTCTCCAAAGTTCTGTCAACCTTTAATAAACCTTTTGCTGGCATCAGGATTGAAAAGTTGATGTTTTATGGATTTGCTTATAAGTAGAAAATATGATGAAGAGATATCTCTTTGTAATCTTATAGGAAGTGAAGAGTTATTAAATTTGTTTATGCCTGCAATGAAAGTTGGAAGTCACTTCTTCATAATTTTTAATTTATTATATTCTTTCTTTTCATTTTAGAATTTTCTTCCTTTTTTATTTACTTCTGTTTAAGTTTCATTTGTATTATTTTTTACTATTGAAATCAAAATTCTTAATAGAAATTAAAACAGTGAGAATACCGGTGAGGTGGAATAGTTAAAAGACTAGGACTGGAGAGATGCACATCCAGTTCTAGAGTCGGGAACGACTAGCACGTATGTGTGAGGGGAACCTTTACCTTTAAGTGCTGTTAATTACAATAGTAAAAAAAAAATACAAACTAAACTTAGAGAAGAAAAGGAAAAAGAAAAGGAAGAAAAATGCTCTCATCTCCACCATAGTAAACTGAAGTAAACATCAGTTCAGCCACTTGTGCAATAGGAAGGAAGCATCAGTATAATGGTTATTATTTACAGTCCAAGCTTATTGTTTAGTTACTGAAAAATGTTGCAATCCAGGCCCTTCATCTCTTCTGCTGAGAGATCCTAATTTTTTCCTGTAGACATTGGATGGATATTCATCTTTTCTTTTACCGCACACACTTCTTAAATAGCCTAATTTCACCATTTGTCCTGACATAGTCAAATTCTCCCTTGTATATAATGAAGTGGGCAGAAGCATGCACCTCCTGTACAAAACCATTTTACTACTTTTGACAAAATTCATTCCTTATATACAGCAGATATTATCCATACTATTGCTCTTCCATTAAAAGAAAATATTCCCAAAGTGGAAACCAAGAACCTTAACAAAAGTCTACATCTTTGTCCTATAGATACCAGTATGAAACCCACTCTTTAACTCTTTCTTTCAATGGTTGTCAGCATACCTGTATGCGAACGTTGAAGCAGCCACAATGTTGCTCAGGATACTGGGGACAAGACTGCCTAGGTAAAAATATTCATCCTTGTGATATCTTATAATGGTTGGTTTTTTCCCTTGCTTTCATAAATCAATTCCTGTGTTTTATCTTTTAGTGCTTTATGCATTAGTTAACAGGGACATTCACGATGTCTCAGAAAAGATTTTGCAAAGAATCGTGCAAAGTACTTTTTAAGGGAGGGGTAGATCTTTCCTATAAGGGTTGGGCAGTCTGTTGTGGTAGAATCTTGGGAAACTGTGGGTCAAAATATTCACGAACTGCATGATATTTTAGGTTATAATGTTCCTAAACGGTTTCTAACACTAGCAATATTCTTAGCCCTAACCTAACAGCTCTGTTTAAACATCCTGAGATTCCTAGTTCATTAATTTAAATTAAATTTAAAAAATGCAGCTCTTTGCAATACATTTATACATATAGTCAAACACCAGTTTGACACCGGTATTTCTGGTATTTTATTCATAAAGTAATGGTTATACAGGGGTCCCCAAAGTTGGCAACTTTAATGTGGACTTCTCGGAATTCCCCATGCTGACTGGAGAATTCTGGGAGTTGGAGTCCACAAATCTTACAGTTGCTAAGTTTGGAGACCCCTGGATTATACCATGCTAAGTGAAAAAGGAGATAGGATTCCTATCCCTTCCTCAGCAGATGGCACCATGGCAGGCAACTGGACAGTGGCCAACCGAGGGATTGACCTCCCCAGCGGTTCCAGTCCTCCCTGCAACGCCCCAAAAGGTTCTTGCCCAACCTTCCTACGGAGAACAATCGTAACAGTCAAGCAGGGAATTAGTCTGGATTCATTATGTAAACATAAGAGGGCAAGGTCTGACCTCCCCCTCCAAATGCCTTTGAGCCTTATCTAGTCTTTCCCAGGTGATGGCTGAATCTCTGAGGGGATTCCTGTAAAATAGGTATAGGACAATAAAGTAGCTAGCTTGAATTCCTCAAGTGTGGGTCTGGTTGTTTGCACCTCATTACTTCACAACATACTTTACCCCTAATAATTGAGGGGCTATGAAATATACTTAGAAGCCAACTTTGCATTTCTCTATGTTGCATGTCTGACTATATTGAAGAGCTCAGCAACATAGCAGAGCCTTAAGTCCATGCTTACTGTTTTCAAGAAAAATTCACGGTTCTATAGGAAGGATGGCATTCCATCATTATTGTACGTTAGTGCAGATAGAAAATGTTTGGTTTGGACTTTCCCCTGAGATTTGAGGAGAAGCCCCCTTTTTTAAAAGTTATATGCCAGAGGTAGGGGTTCCATCACCTTTTCCATGCGTTTTTTGTCTTCCAATGCTGAAAACTATGATGTTAGGTTTTAGCAATAAGGGTTAGATTATAAAAAAGTGGATTAGGAACTTTGGGCAAGTAAAGACCACAAGTCGCCTTTGAGTGAATTAAAGGGGAAAAATGTAACAAAAATAAACTTTCTAAAGATTTATATTTTATATTAATCCCTCTTGTTCATAGTTCAGAACTTCTACCATGTATTCATGGGCTACTTGGAAGCAAATGTTGCTGCATTCAGTGGAATTAATTCCATGTAGGATACCCATTTTCACACTTACATCAGCATGCATAGGCTTCTGTTCTTACCATTACAGAGAAAAGTCTAGCATTCTGTGAAACACAAAGAAAAAAAGGAAATCCTTTGTTTTCCAAGAAACAATTGTAGAACAATGGGGCAATAACACAAAAATACAAACTGATAAAGAATTGCTTCTGGTGCAGCTTCCAAACAAGAGACAACAAGGAAATGGAAAATGACTGTCAGCAGTTCTTTGAAAACCATTTTTTTTCAATGATTTGATTTCATTATTCCAGTTGCAATTTAAATTTGATTTTCAGACAGAAGAATACTTGATCATTTTGTTGAATCAAATTAGTTCAAATTAGTTCTCAAAGAACTAAGAAGGGTTAAATCCTATTACTTCAGGGGTGTTAAATTCAAGGTTCTGTGAGTTGTATCCAGCTGGGGTGCTTAGATCTGGCCAATGGGGCCACCCAGAAAAAAGTGAAGGACCGGGCTGCATGGAGCCCTCCCAAACTCTATTTTTGCTGGCAGAGTGTTGCAGCCGAAAACAACGCTTGGGAGCCCATTTTCACTGGCAGAGTGTTCAGGCCATCAGTGTCGTCCCCGATACGAGTGATGTCAAGGTGGCCACACCCACCCCTGCCCCCAGAGGTCAAACACAACCCTGATGCAGCCCTCAATGAAATCAAGTTTGTCACCCCTGTATTAGTTGATCTTAATCTTTTAGCAGCTTTTGTCTCATTAGCCCCGGCATCCTTTCAAACAGTTCTTCTTTTATTTGTTTCTGAGTACAGTTTAAAGTCTTGGTTTCACCTTTAATGACTTAAACATTTTAGTTTAGATCCATATCTGAGGAACTGGCATTCTTTAACCAACATAGGCCACACCATCAACAACCTATTAAGATATTATACTATAAAAAAGAGCTTTTCAGTTAAGATCATTTCTGTCGGAACTTCTTAGATTTTCTGAAGTCAGCCCTCTTTCAGCCCTCTCTAAGCGGTTTACAGAGAGTCAGCATATTGCCCCCAACAATCCGGGTCCTCATTTTACCCACCTCGGAAGGATGGAAGGCTGAGTCAACCCTGAGCCGGTGAGATTTGAACCGCTGAACTGCTGATCTAGCAGTAGCCTGCAGTGCTGCATTTAACCACTGCGCCACCTCGGCTCTTAACTAGCAAGCACTGTTCCTCTACAGAAATTGCTTTCAAAATTACAATTCAACAACTATGACTGGTTCACTGCCTAGATTCTAAGTCTAATAATTAACAAATCTTGTTTTCTGATCATTTTCAGAATGTCCAGGTGGACCATTATCACCGTGCAGTAACAGAGGACATTGTTTTCAAGGAATTTGGGGGAATGGAACCTGTACTTGCCAGGTATGAGTTTTTTTCGTAATTATTTAACATTAAAAAAAACCTTGAGGGCCTATTTAAGATGATTTTAAAGGCATGTACTAACCATATCTCTTCTACTAACATAAAAATCCAGATTTTATCCTGTTTTAAAAGAGTTGACCAAAGAACAGAGAATATACATAATATAAAATGTGAATTTGACTCAAAATGCTTTTGCCAATTTATATCTGACACAAGTTATGAAGATGTTAAGTTGTAGGTCCTACTTCAGTTTGCCTCTTAGAGAAACATGATGAATAATTTGTTCCTATATTTATTGCATTGGTTACATTTACCCAGACTTGTATAGGCCATCTAGTTTTAATTTCACCATGAAACACTTCTCAAGGACAATTCCAAACCATCTTGACTGTTTTGACACATAACTAGGGAAAATTGAAATAATAAGTTAGGATGAATTCATTAACACCTGTCAGAGACTCAAAATCATTTGCTTTTGCTTCAACTCTCTTTCCTACAAATCTTTGCACCCAAAGATACAATGACTATGAAAACCAGAATTCCAACTTACCAGGATATATATAATAAGTGTGTATAAGCTGACTGCCAACCTAGTTCCTGGGTGAAAATAAATCAAAATTGGCTTTTCTTAATGTAAATTAATTTCTTAATTTTTGCAGAAAGCATTTGCTGGAACTGCCTGTGAAAAGTGTGCAGAAGACAATGTTTTTGGACCTAATTGTACTTCAGGTATAGTGTGAGCTTCCTTTTAAAAAGTGAATATCATAAAATCACATGAAAATGGTATGAATGCTCCCACACAGAAAATTGCATAATATCTTGTGTGGCAGTATAAAAATGGAACATTCCAAAGTAAGTTGATATGTCTTATCTAGTCACGGCTTTCAAATATTTCTTATGAGATATAAAACTTTAATTTAGCAAAACCTTTCTACAAGTTAACTTTTGATATACATGAGAGTTTCCTTCTGGCCTAACAAAATCATGATAATGAGGCTTGGAAAATGAACAAAGCTATGCCCACCATTTTGCACGTGCAAGATTTTTTTTTTTAAAAAACCTATAAAAATCCTTCTTCAAGGAGAATTGTTCAATAAAAATCCAAATGAACAAAACATCTTACCACTGTGATATCACACAGCTCCCCAACATGTATATGGAAAACCACAGGTACTGAAGCCAAGAATAAGAACAACTACTTATAATCCCACACAGCTGAGAATTTGTGACAGCTGAGTAGAAGAATATTCATGAAATTAACTTTGGCTTCTTTCTTACAACCAGGAATTCCTCAGAAGTACATCTAAAACCACAAATTTTCCCTAAACTGATCCTTAGATCAGCTACAATTTCATCTACCATACATAAGCTCCATGTACATTACATTTGGGGTTAATATTGTCTTGCAACAGATGTGCTAAAAAGATAGATCATCATCAGTAGATTTCTGGCTGATTTGAAATAGATCAGCAAGGATTCTAGTTCCTCAAAATCTAACTAATATTATTTATTATATAACTGTATGATTTCCTATTAAAAGAAATCTCAAGGTGACTTATTATTAAATAGAGCACTTACAATTAAAAATGAGTTAAATTTATGAATTAAAAAATTTAATAAAACATACTTTAAGACATTTCATTAAAAATGCAGTGTTGTACAGTAAAATAAAATCATTAAGACAAGAATCAATGAAACAGAAAATTGCAGAAACAATTAAAATCTTTAAAATGGCAACAGATAAATATGTATATTAATGGATCATTTACAATATCTGTCTGAAATAGTGATTTATGTTCACATTCCTTATTCTATAGTCTCTATAGTTGGAAACCTCAAGTTAATTTACTGCTTAACTAAACAAAAATGCAAAGCATTGTCCTTGGTATCTTTTGTATGTAATGTTTATGCCCTACCACTGAACTACAGCCCTTCCTTCCCATTCAGTTCTTTCTCTAACCATAGAGAAAAGACTTCCAATAATTGACCACTGTAGTTCTGTACATAACCAACTTTTTTTTAAGATGCTTTGATAGAGCAATGTTTCCTGTAGATAGCTTCTGCTCTATATGTTGAAGGAAACAGCAGTAATTGGTATATTAAGTTAGTGGCTGAGGATGTGCTGAGAATGGACTAAAAACATTTCCTACAGATATTTCCTAGGCAATACTATAGTTTAACTTTACAGTTATATACTTCTAACAAGCATATGAGAAGTATGGAGACCAAGAGTCAACAGAATTCCCAGGCAGCAAACAGTCAGAAATCCCAGCCTAAAGATAATTCTGGGACTTATCTCAAATAATCTGGGAAGACCACGGGGATGCATCCTGCATAAGATCCAGTTTTGTGAGTGCCATGAAAAGGAAGGAGATTCTGATGAAATATAGTAAGGAGGTTGATCACTAGGAGGAAGGGAGGGGATGCATTCCAGAGGAGGAGTAGCAGAGGTGGTATGCTGCCAGTTCACACTGATTCGGGCAAACTGGTAGTGGCAGTGGCGTGAGGCTCCACCCACACACCCTGACATCATCAAGGACCTTCTGCGCATGCTCCCGCTACTGAACAAGTAGTGAAGAAAATAGAATACCATCTCTGAGTAGAAGGAAACTTAGCTTGGAAATATAATATATGAAAGAAGGAGGGTGAAGACAGTTCCTCCCTAATAGTTCATAGAGTATATTGTAGTTACAGATACTGTGTTAGAATCTTTACTCTGGCAAGATTTCATCTATAGGTGTAAAATAACTTGCAAGAATTGCCACATGTCATTCTAGTTTTGGGCCTGAAAGGTGTGTAGCCCTCCAAGGGCAACGTTTTATTACAATCAGAAATTAGAACTTATGCAAAATAAGTATACATAAGAAAAGTACAGTGACATGATTCTTCTTATTGCATACAATGTATCCTAATTGCCCCAAAAATCCTAGAATCCTTTACAGTTATATAAGCAATTTCTGTAAGTACTGTATATAGATATTTTCCCCCTAACAACCCCAACTACAGCTTGTTGTGTATTTATTTATCATTGAAATTTCTAAGACTCTCCAACAATTATAGGGATTTAAAGAGTTACAAAGGTAAAAATATATGATACACTAAAATCAATTGATAAGGTAAAGGTAAAGCTTCCCCCACACATGCTTGCTAGTCATTTCCAGCTCTAGGAGCAGTGCTCATCTCCATTTCAAAGCCGAAGAGCCAGCGCTGCCCAAAGACATCTCCGTGGTCATGTGGCCAGCAGGACTAAATGCCGAAGGTGCACGGAATGCTATTTCCCTATTTTTCTACTTGCATTTTTTGCGTGCTTTCAAACTGCTAGGTTGGCAAAGTTGGGACAAGTAACAAGAGCTTACTCTGGTGCTAGGGATTCGAACTGTTGAACTGCCAACCTTCTGATCGACAAGCTTAGCATCTTAGCCACTGAGCCCCTGCGTCCCTTCAAAATCAATTGATAAACATACACTAATTGATAAACATACACTAAAATCAATTGATAATTGATATAATACACTAAAATCAAATGACAATCATTTGTCATGCTTGGAGGATGGGAATTGCAACAATTAAAGAATATAGGTTTAGAAATGCTTTGATGCAAAGCAGCCCTTATGAATCTTACAAGCTTGTTATGATGGGCCTTCTTGAAACCTGTGAATGAGTGATGGACAATCTTTGAGATGTTGACTGCTTAAAAAGGTCTGGAGGGGTTGGAATAAAAGATAAATACAGTAATTATGTCACAGAAGCAAGTGCGGTGGAAAAGAGGTGGGTCTTTTGCAGTTTGAGCTACACTAAGCTTGTCTGAAAGTTGAACACAGCTTAATTAAATAGATGAAATAAATAAAAAGGTGAATTTCTTTAGAATTTAGCAAATTGCCATCAATATTTAACCTGTGTAAGGAGGCTTAGGATAAAATAAAGTAAGAGCTTAGGATCAGATGAGGCCCAGGAGCTGCCTTCCTTTTCTTTAAGTTATCAATAAATTCAAGTAAAGCTTAGGCAAAAGAAAGGTTTGTTCATATATCCATATGGATTATTTTAATAGACTTCAGGGAAGATCATACCTCACAGGTTCAAGTATCTCCCAACCTCAATAGTTGTAGGACAAAATGTACAGCTCAAATATTGCAGACTCCAATCAAGGCTTCCTTCCTCTTAGTATGCAGCTGCATTCATGGAACATGCAACAATGGGCTAACTGGTGATGGACAATGCATGTGTATGTCTGGATACAAAGGTCTTCATTGTGATCAACGTAAGTAGCACATTTTGGGGCATGGGCACATATTTTATTCATGGCAGCTAATGAGACGCATGTTAATGAACTCATCATATAGTTAGAAGCCATTCAAAAATGATGAATGTGCCATGAACTGTTGAAAGGAAATCCCTTTCTAAAAACTCTGTTCAGAGCTCTAGTTTTCTACATACAACATCCGGTGCTAGATCAACAGTAGCAGCAACTGTAGAAGCAAAGTGATTAGGTTCAAAGATAAAGTGTTGCTAATGCATTTTATCCCATGTAACAGGATTAGGACTTGTGTTTCTACTAACCGGTCAGAAAAAGACTTTTTCCTGTGATTAACTTGGATAAAAATCATGTCCTGGTCCTGGTTATTCGCATGCCCTTTCCTAATATCGTTTCTACTTCTCCATCTCCACACTCCCATTCCTTCCTTTGAAAATACTATTTTATTTTTTACTTTTAGATAACATGAGGTATGCATAGTATTCATATACATAAGCAAACTCTGGAAATGTTAGCACATATTTTTAGACATATTCATCTCATAAAAACTGTGCATCTAAGAAAAAATACTAATGAATAAGTGAAATAATAACAGAATTAAAATTATTACGCAAGCTTCTTCTTAGGAATACATTATATTTTTAGCTTTTTCCTTTTTCCTTATCTATTAAGTGACCATAATTGTTATTTGCCATCTTGTATCTTGAGTTCTGCTCCAAGGATATAAATATATGACTTGGTCTGTCAGAGTAACATATGATGCTACACTGATTTCTTAGTTCAACAAGCACTGATGTGTTTGAACTACAGTTCACTGGATTTAAAAAAAGAATTTTGGGGATAGCAGTTACTAGTAATTGCTATCCCTAAAATTCCTTTATAAAACCAGTGAATTGTAGTTATTACTACTTTTGTAATAGTTGCAGTAGTAGACCAAGTTAGAGAAATCTAATTTGAGAATGACTTGTATTTTTGTGCTTTTTCTCTTACCAACAAATACAGTCAGGTTTTTGAAAAGGTAGTCTTTAATGTTGAAGTTGTTATTCATTTAACACTTGAACAGATATGTTAGTTTGCTTAGCCGTGTAGTTTAGCATAACAATCTTGGTCTATTGTATTTTCTTTAATCCCTCAGCAATACCAGAATGTGAAGCCTTACAGTGCCCAGAAAATTCCAGATGTTCTGTATCAAGTGTGGACAAAAGTCAACTGGAATGCAAGTGCCTTCCCAATTATGAAGGTGATGGCAAACAGTGTAAACGTAAGTAGCAAATAAACCAAAATAGCACTTTATTTTAGTTGTAACTAGTTTAGGGGCTAGTTTAATATCAGTATTTAGAATAAAGATTATCAAACTCCCAACAATGCAAAGTGTTCATTCATTCATATACTTATTTATTTACTTATTCATTCATTCATTCATTCATTCATTCATTCATTCATTCATTCATTCATTCATTCATTTATTCAATACAATTACCAAAATGTGAATGTTAGTGGCAAGGAAGACTACGGTTAGTCATATCACTAGGCAGACTAGGAATATTTTCTTGTCATTTAGCTCAGCCATAAACAGACCCAAGGCCAGCTCTGGTGGCAAAGGTGGCCTTTCCCCTCCACTGTCAATGAATCCAACACATATTTGTTTCACTGGATTTCAAATCAAGTGCCAAATCTGATAAAGTATAATTTAATCTTGGTACAATAATACTGACTGATGATATTTAATCAAATAAAAAATGAGCATAGTAGTGAAGTCTTTGCTTAGCCGTGTAGTTTAGCATAGCAATCTTGGTGTGAACACTTATTTTGCTGTCTTTGTATCATTATTTCCTCTCCAAAGCTATAAATCCATGCTCCAAAATGGTTTGTGATCCTCATGCTGATTGCCTATATCTTGGACCCAATCATCATAACTGTACGTGCCAATATGGATATGAAGGCGATGGCCAAGTATGCGTACCAATAAATCCTTGCCAAAAAAACTTTGGTAACTGCCCTATAAGTTCCACCGTCTGTAAATATGAAGGCCCTGGAAAGGTAAGTGTACATGTGGAATAGGACATGTTCTGCCTATACTGTGGCTTCCTGATCTGTATATAAATCTCTCATGAGGACAATGAGCTGTTCTGGGTTTCCCAATTTTCTG